AGATGTGTAATAAGTATATACAAGCTGTTAGATGCATTACTAAAGTACTATTTTTTTAAAAAAAGAAAAGAACTGATGAAATGGAAATAAAGCTCATATACATGTATCAGAAAAATTTATTGCAATACATAGGCGGGGAGATATAGCAGGGGGGCTATAACGAGATGAGCTCAAATCGGTATTTAATTGTTTCATTCAACATTTGTTTCAACCTCCTGTTAGTGAGTGTTCCTGTGATGAAGGAGTTGATGGCTAAAGACATTTACCAGTCTCTCTTGCAGTCAGGGTTCCAGAAGCAATTTAGATTCTGTCAATCAGATGTGTTTGGAAAGAATTAAGAACAGTTAACCTAGGTGATTGGCAGCACATGAAATATCCTTTTTGGTGGTTCAGATCTAGCAGACAGGACAGACTAGCCCTGGTACCAGTTCTGTCAGTGGTTTCTGATTGCAGGTAAGGGGGTATGATCATGGAGCCAGCAGTTGGAACAGTGATGTTCTGATTGAACTGAGGTAATTTCCTCAGCAGTTCAATCTGGCGGTAATGCTCTGAAATCATGCATGTGGGCCAGGGGCCACTTCTTCAGTAATTTTATAAGTACCTAATTGCTTACATTAAATCTCTTCCTGCTTAAAATAGCTTTACTGATTTATGTTATCTCTAGCTGAATTTATTGATATAATAATCAACAGCCCAAACTGCTGAGAGTTCCAAAACCAAAAAGCCAATTCAGTCTGTCACAATGGCCTTATCACTATGTATTTTTCGAAGCGATACTAAATGAGAGGTGCTATGGTCTGAATGTTGGCGTCTCCCCAAAATTCATAATTTATAAACAATAGAAATTTATTCCTCACAGTTCTGGAGGCTGGGAAGTTCAAGATTAAGGCTCCAGCAGACTCAGTATCTGATGAGGGCTCATTCTCTGCTTCAAAGATGATGCCACCTTGCTGTCTCCTCACATGGCAGGAAAGGGAGCAAGGCAGCTCCCTTCAACCTCTCTTATAGGACAATAACCCCATTTGTTGAGGGCTCACATCCCAGAGGCCCCATCTCTTAATACAGTTAAACTGGCATGAACACTATCATTTGATCTTCTAAACAGAGAGGCTCTGTCGCATATTCCCTATACCACTCAGGGCCAGAATAAAGTTTGCTTTTTCTGAGGAAGTGATATACTTACTAGCAGTAGGGTAAGGTGAGGCACGTAATTCTTTATATTTTCCTTTTGTTCTTAGCAGCTCTCTAGTTAAGTTTTTTGTTCAATATCTGTGGTTTTCTTCAGCTAAATCCTTTTTATTTTTTAGAGCCTATCTTTTGATACTTTGGTTGTTTTTGCTTATTGTGCCTATACATTTACTGAAAGCTGCCCCAAATTATTTTTTAGCAGTAGACAGTTTTTTTTTTAAAATCATTCTTTCAGGGAAAGGAAATATTACTCTTCTGATAAGAGAAAAAAATATCCATATATGCAGGTAGCCTTAGATGAGTCAATCTTTAGTGTTATTTTCTGCCCAACTTACTATAATAAAACTAAAGATGTATTGTGAGAGGCAATCTTCCAAGGGCCCTGAGTCCCTGCATGTTATTGCTGGACATGCCAAGAATGCAAGGCCTTGACCACTCTTTAACTGGGCTATATCTCAGGATTGCATTTGCAGTGAGCAACCTCAAAGGATGAGGTAACATCTCCTCCCACACACAGAGTGGGCTTGCTGTCATTTACTATAAAAGCAGTGGATTCCTCAAGCTCAGTGTTCCTCAGCTGTGACACAAACTCACTGAATGCATAGGATCCAACTGGGCCTTTTCACATCACCCCTGTGGGACTTGGGTGTGGGGAACAAATGCCAACATGATGCTCATGTTGTTTGCTGTGCCATAAGCAAAAAAATCTCTGATCCAGGAGTCTCATATCTTCTGCCAGCATCCATAATAGCAACAGGCTAATTAGTAAATTGGTATAATTTCAGACTCTGACAAGGTATTGATTTGACAGAAGGTAGTTGATGACTCCAAGTTTGAAAGCAGGCTTGAATTACATCCTTTATAACTCAGAGTAATTCCTATAGACATACCGTTAATGAAGATAACAGAGAAATAACTGTTTTCCTAAAATAAAATAACTGTTTAAAACAAGAGAATGACCTCAAAGGGCCCATTAAAGAACTGTTGAGGTTGTGACATTCTAAAGATGAAAATTGTCTAATGAGAAGTTATTACTTAATGTACACAGAGTTTATGTTCAGGAGGACGAAAAAGTTTTGGAAATAGATAGAGATGGCGGTCACACAGCACTGTTAATGTAATTAATTCCACACAATTGTATGTTTAAAAATGCTTAAAATGGCAATCATTATGCTATATATAATTTACCACAATAAAAAAAAAAAACCACAAAAATTCTGGTTTTTTGTCTCTACGTACTAAAAAATGTGAGGAGACTGAATTGTTTAAGATTCAGTGGTCAGGCCCATTATCACTCTATAATTTTACATTATAATGGAGAGAAGTACCAGGCAATGTATAGGCCAAAAATAATGAAGCAAACAAGGAAAGAAAGGAAATTATAATAAACTGAGTTATACAAAACAACTAGCATTCTCTTAAGTAGCTTATTTGTTGGAAGGGAATGAAAGGCTTTATTTTATACATGAACCATAACACTGAAAGTCAAAAACAAAAACTCATTTTACCTAGATAGTGAATAAAACTCAAGCTGTAGGTACTAAAATTATAATGTGAAAGTAAGTGATATACTTCTGTCTAAACAGAAATAAAAGATACTTTGAAATTCAGAGTAAGCATCTCAATATAAAAACTCTACGTTATTTTTTATTACCAAATAAATGATTTAAAAAAATAAAGAATCCCTTTCTAGACAAGATTTTTGACGTTATTCAGCAACTCAGCATACCCCACCCCTCTGCAACTCCCAACCACCAGTAACAAAGAATAGTGACGAACATATGACTAATCAGAATTGTAGGAGGCAGGGGGGGGGGGCGGTGAAGGGGGGAAGAGGAATGGGTAAATGGACACAAAAATCAACTACAATGTATATTGAGAAGTTAAAAAAAATAAAAAGAATTGTAAGTAATTCCAGTGTCATTAATTCAGAAAACTAATGGGAAAAAAGTGTCTGGAAAACTCCAGGCTCTATATTCAAGGATGCTATTAAAATCTTCAACATAAAAAAAGACATTTCTCTAGAAACATATACATATATATATATATTAAAGATTGATCCAGACATAAATGCAAAAAGTAACACAGCAGATTAGGAGAATACCTTGAAAGGAGCTGACGACAAAGGAAAGAGGAAGAAGAGTAACAAAAAGCTAGAAAGAATAAATTATAAAAGTTACAACTGTGTGATCATTTAAAAAAAGTAATCTAAGGTGAAAAGCCAATCACAACATCACTATTTTTTTTTTCCTTTTTGTCTTTTTTCGTGACCGGTAACGGGATCGCAACCCTCGGTGTCGCGCCCGCACCGCGCTCAGCCAGTGAGCGGACGGGTCTCTATATGGGATCCGAACCCTCGGCGGGAGCACCGCCGCACTCCCAAGTGCCACACTCAACCGAGTGCGCCACCGGGCCAGCCGACAACATTACTATTTTTAAGCACAGGATATCATCAATGGACCTTAGAGTCCAGCCATCATTTAATAAGGTAAATGTGAGAGAAGTTGTTAAATTACTTGGTGAAGATTTGTATGGTGCAGAAAAGGAGTTGTTATACAGATTTAAAAAAACAAAACCAAAAACACCTATTTTAGTTATTTTATAATCACTAACAACATTTTAGAAAATTGTTGTATAATTATAGAATAATTAAATAACATCCTTATCATTCCATTGATTAGATAAATGAAAATATATACTTGACAATTTGCTAGGGTATTTTATAATCAAACAGTCCATATTTATGCATTTCATTTATGCAAAATTATAGATCTAATTTGAAAAGGTAAAATATTTTGTTCCACTGTTTACAAACATAATATAATCTACAAGACAAAAAGTATTTATGGTTAAATTGTTTCCTACAGATAAAGAAATGAATTATCAAGTTTAGGTGTTAAAAAAAGGATGTATTCTACCAAACTTGTATAAAAGGGCAAAGAACAACTTTGGGGATTCTTAAAGATACCTTCTACATAATTGATCAAAACTGAGGATGTTTTCACTTTTGAAATAAAGCTCTGTGTTTAGCAATATGAACTTTATTCATGTTTTTTTTTGGGGGGGGGTTTGTCTTTTTTTTTTTTTTTTAACTGACCGGTAACGGGATCGCAACCCTCGGTGTCGCGCCCGTACCGGGGACCGGCAACAGGATGGCAACCCTCGGTGTTGCGCCCGCACCACGCTCAGCCAGTGAGCGGGAACCGGTCTCCACATGGGATCCGAACCCTTGGCGGGAGCGCCGCCGCACTCCCAAGCGGCGCACTCTCCAGTGTGCCACCGGGCTGGCCCGAACTTTATTCATGTTTGAGAGAAACTTGCCATGCTCTAAATTTTTAAAATATTTTCTGTGAAATAAATGGTCTGTCTTAGTATACACCTGTGAACTGGGGTAGTCGGAGCTTGTGAAGGGCATTTCAAATACTAGAAGCAAATATAGGGCAAAGGGTGCACAGCACTGGTACTTAATGTTACCACCAAGGACTCCTTTTTAAATGTTCACTTCCTCATGGGCCTTATTGTTTTAAAAGACTACACATTTATTAATTTATTAATTAAAATGGTAAAACAAATTAAGATACTAGGTTAAACTCTCAAAGAGGATTTCTAATAAACATGGAAAGCATGGAATAACCAGAGCTACCCCAGTGGAAAATCCAGAAGAACCAAAGAGACCAGATGTTTAACCTAGCCACCGTTCAACAGGTCAATGGAGGTCATGAGAATATTTTATTCAGAGCTCAATAAAACACTATGAATGCAAATCATGAAAAGGATGGCATTCTACAATTGAGTTAATAAAGGGTATTCACCACATGGGTTGATTGTAGAGCTAAGTGAAGCAGCTACAGTGGAAAGGCCGCCTTTTGAAACTGCTGAAGCCACAGAAGGTGTAGAAGCTGAAGTTGGGGTAGTAGAGGAGGCTGTTGAGGATGGTAACCTTTCTCCAGACTCCATATCTATAAGATGGGGAGAAAACTGTTAATTCTCAGTATTAGACAGTAGAATTATTCAAAAGAATTATATACATTTAAACTTTTTGCATACTTTAAAAAAAAGAAATAAACTGAGAAATGCATGTTCTTCATAAAGATAAAATAAGGATAAAAACAATAAAAAATACTAATTTATGAAATAAGTTTAATATTAAATATATCAAATCCTTTTCTAATAGATTTGCAGTATTCTCATATCCAACAAATTAATAAATCACCTCAACATCTGTTCACTTGTAACATAATTCCCACATTATCTTAATGAATCAAGAAAATATCACCACATTGAATTGCATCCTTGGCTTCTAAATTCAGACAGCAATATCCGTGTGGGTCTTAAGAGTCCAAGATTTGGCCTGGTAATCCCCGATATAACAAAGGTTCCCCCCAAAAAGACAAATACGTTTTAGAGTTTTTACTGGAGGCAGGTTTGAACTATGCTTTCAAAATGGCCTTAGTGTGACTGCTTTATAATGACCAAACCACTTCTAAGCATCTTTATTAATTGCTTCACTATTGTGGGTAGAATCTTGCATTGGTTTTATTAGAATAGTTCATGTTGATATTAAAAATCCAGAATACAATTGGCTATGGTCATTTTCATACTCCATGCATGCACTGTCTCATAATTAAGCAAGGAAATCATTAAGTTTGCAGATGCTACAAGGAATATACTACCTATAGAAAGAAAAAAAAAGATATTGCTCACCTATAAGTGAATTTATGATCAGCCACATGTAAACTCACCATTTAAATAATCTGACTATAGAAAGATTTCTGTACTGAATTCTATATCCAACTCACATTTCTAAGAAATGTGACTACATTTTCTAAGAAAAACGGTTTAATTTTATTTTAAAATATTGACTGGTTAAAAATAATGCAAGGTTAATGTTTAAATGTTGACTGAATCCATAAAGTATTTAGATAATTTTTCTCACAAACAGAGACATATGGGGAAGGTAATCTTGGGTTCACACATAGCTTCATTAGTAAGACCATTTCAATGAACTTTTGAATCATATACAATTCAAAAACTTTTCTTCATATTCTGGTATTGCTGTCAATCACCTCCATAAATGACAGTACTGCTATGATAAGTATGTCCATATTCTTACAGAATCCTTCCTTCTCTTTATCAGTATTCATCACAGAAAAGGTGCCATTGCTCCTGATGGCTGCATGGGACTAATGGTAATGGGCAGACTTTTGGGTCAGCAACAGTCACTAATGAACTCTGAGACGCGTGGCTGTCTGATGGCAAGGCCCATGGCTGACACCTTTCTCCATAAATTATTTTCACCAAGTCTCATTTCACTAAATACAAGAAAAGTAGATTCTTTACCTAGAAAGATTTCATTTAAAGAAGTCTATTTTTTTCTTTATAGCTGTTAAACTCATTATCTCAAAGAATTCTGAAATGTACTATATTTGAATGTACTATTTTCTAAAAAATAGTGAAAGGGTTTTTTTTGTGTTTTAGTCTTTTTTAAAATTTATCTTTGTATTCCACAGCAAAAATAATATGGTGACATAACAACATAGACACTTTAGCTGAGTAGTTGGTATATAAGAACTCGATAAATAAGTCATTACATTTTTCTGTACAATAATACACTATAAATTCTAGGTATTTCTTTTTGTTGTTATAACTTTATCCAGGACTAAAGTAAGTACAACTCAAAAGGTAAAATAAGTAGTCTCATATACATATAGGTCATTAGAGATTACTTTTCCTGAAGAAGTAATCTGATAATATTTGTTAAAATTAAATATATATATATGCTTGGATACTGCAATTCTAATTTTTAGAATCTTTTCTGTAGAAATAAAGTACCAATAGGAAATGCAACATACACAAAATTGTTTGTTATAATATTAGCATTTAAAAATAAAATAAAAGTGTTTGAAAATAAAACAAAATTGAACTCTGGCAGCTTCTGGTCAAGATGGCAGAATAGACAGTCCCCAGTGTCACTCTCCCACAAATCAACCAATTTACAACTATTAAAAAGCAACAACAGCCAAGCTGGGGCCGCTAGAGCTCAGGGGAAGTGGAGGAGAGACGTATGGAGTGCATGGAGGCAGAAGAAGCCACGATGAGAGAAAGAAAGGATCACCCCCCCCATTTCAAGCCCCAGCGCTTCAAGGATGGAGCTGGTGAGCACATGGAGCAAGAGCTGGCAAAAGCCCCAGCTGTGCCCTTCAGATGAAGTTGCTTGGAGGCGGCAGGGGAGAAGAGGGCCTTGGTGCCCCCAGAACAGCAAGACCACTGACAGGGTTCCCATGGACCCACATAGGAGTGAGGACCCACTCAGAGGCTGGTGAGACATCACAAGGGACCTGCACAGCCTGCCCCACGGGAAGTGTTTGGACAAGCAGAGGTGGTTGGGGAGACCGGCCCACCAGGAGAACACTGGGGCACAGCAAGGACAAGTGATCTGCCCCCCAATCAGCACAGGACCAATCAGAGGAGACTGGTCAGGAATACAGAACTGCAGGGATGCCATTTGCTGAAAAGACTCAGGACCAGACCAGAATTTCCACAAAACCCAGGTGTACTGGACCTCACAAGACCCAGAAATACATATAAGGCCAAAAATTAAAACCTGAGCTGTACAAAAAGCCTTCCCCAGGGAATATCAGCAAAACAGCAATTTAGCTCAACTACAGGGCTCAAGTGCTGGTCCCCACAGGAAGTTCCCCCATTTCAGAAGTAAGCAAAGGACAACAAATTAGTTCCAATGCAGAGTTTAAGAGGTAGAAACAGTGAATAATCAAACACAGAACTGGAAGAAAAAAAAAAACCCACAGATCAGAGATAAAGTTTGATATTAACTGGTAAAGATCTGCCACCACCTAAGAAAACCTATAAAACCTACAATGACCAGAAGCCCCCAGGGCTCCCAAGTCAGGGAGTGGGGAGGGCTCTAGGCCTCAGCCACACACCCCCAATGACCATACCCAGCCCAGTGATGAGCACCCGGTCTCCAGCAGAAGCTCCCAGGCTGAGCTGGGGCAGTGGGGGGATGAGGGCCTCAGCCACATCCCCCAAAACATGCACCCACCCCAGCGATGACCACCGAGCTGCTGCTGGAAGTGCCCCAGGCTCCCACCAGGACGGTGGGGGTCCAAGGGCTTCAGCCACAATCCCCTGACATCTGCATCCAGTCCAGCAATGACCAAGCTGCTGGAAACCCCCTGGTCTCCCCTACCAGAATGAGTGGGGGGTGCCATGCGCCTCAACCATGACCCACCTCCTTCGACCTCCTCCCGCCCTATTTCCCTCCCCCTTCTGCTCTCCCCTTCCTCTCCAACTGCTCTGCAACATCTTAGAATGTAAAAAACTAATAATATTAATAAATAAATTTAAAAAATAAATTAATAAAAATAAAAATAAATCTGGCAATAAGAAAGAGTGGAACTAGAGCTAGTAGTATAAGATAAGATTGGGGGCCTTTTTTAGTTTCAGTAAAGGTGTACTTTTCTCCTCCAGTTTTGATTTTTTTTGTTCATTTAAGGGAGAAATAGCTTAACTTTTAAAAAATATATGCTAATGCAGCCATTTTCCATAGAAGTTCTATTATATACATTATTGTTCATATATTATTTCATTTCAAATATTTTGATCCTAGATATATAATTTTAGCCAGTATAATCTCTTAGGTGACTAAGTATTCTCCTTATATATAAAGTGCTATTCTTTTATACTGGCCTTAAATTGTTTTGAATATGTATTTCTTAGTTCCAGTAACAGGGAACATTTGGGAGACATTTTTGATTGCAACAACTGAGAGGGTGCTAATGGCATTAAGTAGATAGAGGCCAAGGATACTGCTAAATACCCTACAATGCACAGGATAGTTCTCCCTCCAAACCAGAATTATCAAGTGCAAAATGTTTTTTTTTTTTTTCCTTTTTGTCTTTTTTCGTGACCGGTAACGGGATCGCAACCCTCGGTGTCACGCCCGTACCGCGACCGGCTACGGGATCGCAACCCTCAGTGTCGCACCCGCACCGCGCTCAATGAGTGAGTGGACTGGTCTCTATATGCGATCCGAACCCTCGGCGGGAGTGCCGCTGTGCTCCCAAGCACCGCACTCTACCGAGTGCGCCACTGGGCCAGCCCTCAAGTGCAAAATGTTAGTAGTGCTAAGGATGACAAACCCTGATCTAAAGTCTCAAAAATTGTATTACTTGGAATTCAACTAACCAAAACTTTCGTTTAAGTAGTAATTCTACTTAACTATAACAGTAAGCTGATTCAAGCTGATTTTGTTGTTATTTTCTTAAAAATTTCATTTTTTTTTCCTTTTTGTCTTTTTTCGTGACCAGTATTGGGATCGCAACCCTCGGTGTCGCGCCCGTACCGCGACCGGCAACAGGATCGCAACCCTCGGTGTTGCGCCCGCACCGCGCTCAACCAGTGAGCGGACCAGTTTCTACATGGGATCCGAACCCTCGGTGGGAACGCCGCCACGCTCCCAAACGCTGCACTCTACCGAGTGCGCCACCGGGCCGGCCCAAAAATTTCATATTTTAATTGCTCTATACATTAATGTATAAAACAAAAATAGTAAAAATATATTGGGGTATGTATAGCATATGTAACAGTAAAATGTATGAGAACAATGACACAAAATATGGAAGAGAAGAACTGGGAATATAAAATAGAAAGTTTCCTGGATTATTCAAGCTCATTTTGATAATCCAAAGCCACTGCAATAGATTAAAAAAATTATATTCAACATATCTTTTGTGTCAGCATACCCCTAAGAGTCTAATATTTTACATTTTGTCCAAATTGTTTAAAACTGATAAAATATGTAATTAATGCACATCATAATGCTCACTCAATCTAGATAACATAAATTTGCTGTATTTTACAAAAATGATATTCATCTATAACAATCCTGAGAACAAAAATCATAATTTATGAGAATGATAGACCACAAACAACTTCT